CATATTATGTATACTTGGTTTATTGTGAAGGAAATAGTTTAACGTTGCATTTTGCTCTGCACAGCATGAAGTGAATGTGGAATATATTCTGTTGTATCTGTCAGCCTAGATTTGACTGCATATCATACATAGACAGCTAGATAATTAATCATGTACAGAAAAGAAGATAAAAGCTTTATCTCAGCAGTGTTCTGATTTGGGGTATAATATATGCTTGCTAGGAAATCAGATCACCCTCTTAGTGAATATATGATTAATCATTACTTTTTTTTTATCACTTGAGTGAATTACTACTGCTGAGTGATATTATATTATCTATTTCTAACTGTGGGGGTGATTAGTTAGTTGGTAAAGGCGAAATATACCAGTGCTTCCGAACAGGATTTTTATTTCCCTTCTTTTTGCAGACCATGGAGAACGGGTAGTTTCACAGTACATGCAGGTTGGAGAGATCCTTCCCAATTGTGGTCTTGATTTTGTCTGTCCACATAATCACTTCCCAGTGCACATCTTCAGTGGGAAAGGCAAAGATGACATGCCAAAAATTTGTGTTTCTGGAAAATAGTAAGTTGTTAAAATGTTTTGTGGCATTAACTGACAAAATACAAGGCAATGTTTTTGTATAGATATTCATAGTGTTTTCATTGAATATAGACCACTGTTCATGACAACATAGACCAGTGTTCATTGTTATTGTTCCACTTATAAGGTGTATTGAATATTATTAATTAATTCATTTATTCATATATTTTCTTTAATTATAGTGTGATTCAAAAAGATATAAATAATGGTGGCCGAGGGATGAACATGGTGGTGGTAGACTCTCATCGCATGAAAGCAGTAAATGCCCGGCGCTTTGACACATATGCAATGGACTCTAGTGAGATGGAGCTCTTTCTGATGCGGGAAGTGCGAGATGGAGACATCCTCATCGGCTTGACATTTGATGAAGCTTCAAGAAATTTGGGAGCAATGGCAAAGAATTTGCTTGCTGACTTAGGTAATTGTTTTGTCATTTCTTTGTATTTATTTATTTATATTATATGTAATAAAGTATGTATATACTAGGTAAAGACTTTTTAAAATCTTGTTTTGGAAGATCATGGTTGCTTCCACTTTATTTGTAATACTCTCCACACTTAAAAATAGGACAAAATTTCAGTATATTTACAGAAAAAAGAAAGAGTTGAAAGGATATAAATATATATAAATGTTGTCATAGGCCATACACTGCTGGTATTTGAACGCTTAGAGGTATATTTAATGCAGTTATCATCTGGCAATCAAAGTCTGAGTTGATTGTGCCATAGATAAGCATAAAAAAGAACTGCATGTCAAAATTAGTATTTGAATTAGAATTTGACCAGTATTTTGATGTGAAACGAGAATTGGTATTTGGTTTAAAGTATCACTTCTAATTTTCCATCAGGGAGCAGCCAGATCCAGAATCTGCAGTTTCGGGATCAGTGGTACACGGTAACACAGCGGGGCATAAACGGCTTTTCCCCTTATGAGACCCTGAAACCTTCCAAAGGGGGATTGTGGTCTCCTATTGACGAACACTTTTGCGTGCCACGGCAGTGTAAGTTTGCCCGTCATCATCTTTTTGTCTCTCAGTATTGATTTAGGTTAAAGTTGTACAGCCAAAAAACATTATTTATTGAATTGGATAACTTTTTTAAGGGTAAAGGAATATGACATGATATGAATATATTTCCAGCTCAGTGTGTGTGCTACATTTGTTCTTTCGTTTCTTTTCATACACAAGAAAATAGGATGTGCCAGAATGTTCTTGGAACTGCAGGCAGCGGATATCATTAGTTCTGCATGCAGTTTGTGTGTTTAAGTAACTTTTGATACAGCTAGATTGTTAACTACTGTTTGATGCTTTTGCAGTGAAAGGTAGGAAAATTATGCCTGATCCAAATGTGATGCAGAATGATGCAAGGGCCAAATTCTGCAAGGAACACACATACATTGCAGAGTTCTGTTCAGGTATGTAGTGAAACAGGAAAAAATTGTTGTTCTGGTATTTGTAAATTATGATAGTATACCTGTTTTCTGTTATCTAAGTCATTGCAGTGTAACTGCTCCCCACACTTGTTTATTCTCTGGAAATAAAGAATCACAACACTTCAAGTCTGGTCCATCCTCGCCTCTGAATGCTTATTATGCAATAGACAATGACTGAACGAAACATGGTGGCAGCAAAAAAGGATTGTCTTTCTGCACACCAACGGGACAAAATGGAGACCGGTGAACTGTCAGTGCGAACCAACCTTTTGTTGAGTGAAGGCTTGCAAGCAGAATTTTAACCTCTACATGTTAGCTGCTGGTAATAAGACAAGGATACAAGAGGAGAAAGTCACACTATTACTGACAGTAGGAGATGAATTATTAGAAGTTTATCATTTTTTCAACTTCCTATCCCAATGAAGGTGAGGCTGACCCATCCCAAGTTCTTGATAATGTTCTCCAGAAATTTGACAATCACTTTGCCCCAAAAGAGGGTACATTGCTATCAAGATATAGATATAGAAGATGCCAACAATTAGCAGACATGACCATTATTCCTTCATCACAAAACTCAAGAATATGGTAAAAGATTGTGGATATGGTGACAAGACAGAAGAACACCTGCGTGATCAACTGGTATTTGGATGCAGAGATGAAGCGCTAAGAGAGAAATGCTTCAAAGAAGAGACCCTGTCATTCAATGATGTGATGAAGATTTGTGTTGCACACCAAGCTACACAAAAGCATGTGTCATTATTTCAAGAAGGAAACAGAGAAGCAGTATGCAGAGTGAGTGAAGCACCAAAGAAGATCATAAAGAAAAAAAAGATTATCGGCTCCTCAGAAGGTTAGAAGAAGCTGAAAGAATGCAAGTTCTGCGACAAAACTCATCCATGGAAGAAACAACTCTGTCTAGCATATGGCAAGACCTGCAGTAAGTGTGGAAATGAAAATCGCTTTGCACAGGTATGTAAGTCAAAAGTGATGCACAAAGAATTTTCTGCTAAAAAGAAAATCCATAATGTTGCTGAAGAAAATGACAGTAGTGAACCAGATGATGAGGAAAAGCAGTATATTTTGCAAATAAAGCAAGGTACTAATGATAATATTGTACTAAATGAACAGGATCCAACAGTTTACAATTCCAAAATTCCACGAAAGTTTTACCTAAGAAAAATCTGATGAAGACAAATGCTGTTTTGTGTATGTAGAATTCTACAAAAATTTATCCATTAGGAGAATTTTGAATAGATATGAATAATTGTTGTAATGGAAATAAATATTCTCTTAATGTTATAGTAGTAGAACAAGATTTCACACCAATTTTAAGTAAGAGAGCATATGAGCAGATGGATCTGATTAAGGTGAATTAAGAGAATATTAGTTCTATAGATGATATGTAGTCAAAATACGATGATATATTTTCAGAAAGATTAGGAACTTTGCCTGGTGAAATCAAGACATGTTCCTGTTTCTGTGAATTCATGTAGAGTATCAGTTAGTATAAAGCAGATAGTAATTAAGGAATTAAAACAACTGGAGAAAGACAAAGTAATCACTAAAGTAGATGAACCTACTGATGGGGTAAATAGAATAGTGACTAGCTCTAAGAAGAGTGGTGACATAGGAATTTGTATTGATGACTCACAGGCGTTGAATAAATTGCTGAAAAGAGAACTGTACCCATTACTAATTATTGATGATGCATTAAATTTTCAAAGTTTGATGAAAAATTATTATTGGCATTGTGAACTAGACAAAGAGTCCAGTTGTCTAGCAACATTCCTGACTCCCATAGGCAGATATAGGTGGATGAGATTATCATTTGGTCTCTGTGTAAGCAGTGAGATTTTTCAGAAATGCCTGAACATTGCTTTGGAAGGCGTGAATGGAGTAGGATGTGTTGCAGATGACATTTTAGTATATGGTATTGGTGATAATCAAGAAGGTGCAAATAATGATCATAAGAACCTGTGTAAATTGTTAAAGAAATGTAGAGAAGTAGGTATAATTCTGAATAAGAGCAAATCATTTTTGAGAAGTTCAGAAACAAAATTTTTAGGACACATTGTTTCAAAGGATGGTATTAAAGCAATGTTACTGAAATTCAAAGGTTATGAGGAATGATTAATTATCTAGCTAGAATTTTGCCAAGATTGTTGGATACAATGGGACCAGATCAAGTAAAAGCTTTTTCACAGATTAAGGAGTTATTGAGAAGTTCACCAATATTGCCATATTATGACCCAAACAAACAATTCAGTGTGATGCAAGTCAGAAAGGATTTGGTTCAGTTTTATTACAAGAAGGCAAACCATTATGTTAGCCAAGCTCTAACTTTGACCGAAACAAGATATGCTCAAATAGAAAAAAAAATGTTGGCTATGGTTTTTGTACTCAAGAAATTTCATCACTATACATTTGGAAGGATTACTAAAACCATTCGTGACCATAAGCCCTTGCAGGCTATAATGATGAAACCCCTTGATTGAGCACCAGGAAGATTGCAAGTAATGTTGTTGAGCACATTTCAGTATGATATTGAAGTAGAGTATCAGCCAGGAAAAGATATACATGGTACAGGTTTTGCAACATGCATATCTTATTTGCCAGAAAAAGGAAGGGGACAAGAATTTGAAAACATTATATATCATCATTTGTACCCATATGGCCTACTAGATTGCAAAAGATTCAAAGGTCAACTTTAGATGATGAAGTAATGAATTTACTAACAGAGAGAGTTGTAGAAGGATGGCCCAGTAGTAAAGAGAATGTTGCATGTCAGTTATTACCATACTATAATAGTAGAGATGAGTATTCTGTACAGAGTGGATTAATTTTCAAAGGAGAGAGAATTGTTATACCTAGAGAATTGCAACCTGAGATCAAAGAAGTCATACATTCATCACATATAGGTGTTGAAGGATGTTTAAGATGTGCTAAATAATGTATTTGTTGGTCAGGAGAAAATGCTAAGATCAGGC